GCGCCCCAACTCCCCAATCAGCCCTGCTCTGAGCCCAACCAGGGGCTGAACCTAGGAATTGGTCCTGCCCTCTGCCACCCGGGAGCAGGCCTAAGCCAGCAGGTCGTTATCTCCCGAGGGGTCCCAGACTGCGAGAGGGCACAGGCCGGGCTGAGGGACCCACCTCCCCGCCGAGTGCACAAATTTTTGTGCACCAGGCCTCTAGTCTATATATATAAAAGCCTAAGTGATCATTACAACTGAACAACCAGAACGACCGGTCAACCAGTCACTATGATGCACACTGACTACCAGGAGGCAGATACTCAATGCAGGAGCTGCCCCCTGGTGGTCAGTGCACTCCCACAGAGGGAGCACCGCTCAGCCAGAAGCCAGGCTCAAGGCTGGTGAGCGCAGCTGCAGCGGCAGGAGCCTCTCCTGACTCCACAGCAGCACTACTGAGCGGCAGCCACAGGCACAGCAGGCCAGGATGAGCATGAACAGTGTGGTGCCTGGCCCCAGCTCAGGCTCCTTCCTGGCCACCTGCAGCGTGGCACAATGCTACATCCCTCGGGGGATGTCCGACTGTCGGTTCATGGATCAGGCCTAAACTGGCAGTCGGACATCCCCCAAGGGGTCCCAGATTGCAAGAGGGTGCAGGCCAGGCTGAGGAACTCCGCCGCCCCCTACATGCACGAATCAGTGCAACAGGCCTCTAGTAGGACAATAATCTGATAGCCCACAGGTTGGATCTGGCCACCAACATGTATTTTCTTTTAAAAAGTGTTTGTTTGTTTGTTTTATTATATTTGTAAGTCTTTAGGGGTGTCATGTACAGTTCAATTTTGCTACAGTTCCCACTGTCTCACTTTAGTAGGTTTCCTTCTTTGTTACATACTTGGTCTCTAAGGGCTTTTACTTCTGGAAGCCTACATTTAAAATTCTGTCCAATTTGAATGTTCACTGAATTATTCTTTTTGTACAGTCCCAGAACATAGAAATTATTAGAATTGGAAGGTGCCTCAGAGGTCATTTCATTCTTCTCATTTCTTTCAACAAGAAACTGAGGCCAAGAAAAGTAGAGTAGCTTTACCACAGTTAAATGTACATGAATAGTTCTGCCAAAGTGTTCTTCTAACTCAATAATCGTTTTTTTAAAAAACCCTATTTTGAAGTTTCATGTTTTGTCATGAGTCATCACCATTCCCTATCTCTATAAAAGTAACATTTATTTTATTAAGCACTTACCCCTGAGAGCAGGTAGAAGGGATCTCTCCTTCTTGTCATCACATTTGTTACATTCACTGAAGTACAGGAGTAAGAAGACATCAACCAGAACCCACATCAGAGAAGTGGCAAGGACCACCTTGCAGTAAACAAACCTCCTCATGTCTTTTCTTGATTTCTAGTTAGCAAACAGACCGAAGACAGATGCTACTGTGATAAATCCAAGCCACAGGGGTGAACTCCAGCATAAAAGCAAAATGCATCCCACTGCATTAAAAAAAAAGCAAGGAAAAAAGAGAAAAGAAAAATTTATTACCATATAGTTTGTTTTGCATAGAGATATAACACAAAATATATGAGTTACTTAATGTTTCCATATATATCAGCACTTGGCTTTCAAATTCAGAATTAAAAGTCCAAAGAAATGAAAAGTTGTAAGCAAGCCAGGTAGCTAAAATTCAAACAGCTAATCCTAGATATGCTATTACTGTGCTGGGCCCTTAACAACTATTCAATTTCGTCAAGTTGTATTGTCTTCTCAAATTTCTATCATAACATTCTGTAGAGCACCAGATTGTCAAATAGTGCGGTTCTGAACTTACCCTAATTCAGCACTTCGTAGGAGCCAATGCTGCTGAAACAGGAATCACCTGGGACACTATATATTGAGGCTAAGTGTTGGTCTTAACACACAGATAGGCTTGTGTCTACTTACTTCATATTTGTGGAAGCCTTTTTATATTTTTGTTTTGTTTTGTCTTCATTTATAAAATGATAATAACAATGCCAAACCTAAAGATTTGCAATAAGGACTAAGTACAATAATGCTTGTAAACCATCTTGCAGAAGACAAAGTTACTAACATATAGGGAAAAAAAAATTCTCAAAATCTCAGAAAGAGCAATTACATGAAGCCATCAATTATTAAGCCTTAAAAACCCCATCTGGTCTGCATGGACAGTATCCACAACAAATGTTTATTTTAGAATGGATAGCATACATTCAAAAAATACTACCTGAGGAGAAACAACATATTAGTGTAAAGTGACTTAGAATAACCAGAGTAAGAATTCTAAAAGGCATAGCAAAGAACTGTGCACAATTATTCAGATATATTCAACAAGAGTGTAGGGTTAATACCATATACATTTGTTCTATTTATACTGCATAAGACAGTAAGGACCTGGTTGATTGTATCTATACAGTATATATTCTCATATCATTTGCTACATTTAAAACAATATAAATTTATTGATGTGAATCAATAACATAGTTTTCATAGATATTTGGGGAGAAGAGTCATTAAATACAAAGGCACTCAGAATATTTCATAAACATTTGTTCCAAAATTAAAACATCGAAGTGAAAATTGCTGAGGCAGAAGCTCTTTAAGTTAAAGGCAGCTGCCTTTGTATCAAAAGCAACACAAATGCTGTTGCCCCTGTTACAACCTAACCAGATTATAACAAATTCAAAATTTATATAAAGTGACAGTTTAGAAAATTATTATACCAAAAGGTCTACTTTCAATATTTATATAAAACTTACATTTATTCAGCATAGTTTTTTCAAAAAAAAAGAAAGAAAGAAAGAAGCAAACTGTACAAATTTAAGAAATACATGATATTTAGGGTTTATTGTCTGCTTGTTATTTTTCTTGAAAAAAATTCCATGCTGATTATTTCATTTTTACTTTATTGTTTGTAAAGATTACAGCCAACCATTGGAACTGAGCCGCTAAACCTGATAAGGGAAAGATTCTTCTCTATGTATTTCCTATGTGTATGCTTTACTGAGTATAAATGTGAAACAACTCAAGCTGTCAAATTTTCTGTCTTCCTTTGGTGGAGGAGGTCCCTTCAATTTATTGTAGAAAAAAAGTCCTAGAAAAAAAGTATATACAAGACTGATGGTTACCAATGCACATTCCCAGATTTATAAGGAATACCTTAAAATAAAAGATCCTATAATAAAGTCTCTATCTATAATAATAAAAGCATAATATGCTAATTAAACTGCATGTCCTTCCGAACGACCTTCCAGACAAAACCGGGGCCGTGAGGGAAGCCTGCATCCCGGGTGAATGCTGGTAATGGGGGAGTGGGGGGAGCCCAGATCCCGGGTGCCAGAGGGAAGCCGGTGCCGGCAGCCAGAAGAAGGAAGGCCTACTCTTGCACAAATTTTGTGCATCGGGCCTCTAGTGCATTATATAAAATCCTTTATTATAAAGATGGATAAAAGAGACATAAACAACACCATTCTTAGCTATGTCATAAAGTGAAAAGATGACTTTAGAGAGAAGGATATGTGATGATGTAAGCAGAGGTTGAAGTGATGCAACCTGAACCAAGGAATGGGGGTGGGGTTGGCTGAATGACAGGAATGGATTCTTCCCCAGGACCTCCTGAAGGAACCAGCCCAGTGGGAATCACTTTGAACTTTCACCATGTAGAACTGAGTCCTAGCCAACGATGAAGTGCACTATAGAAACTATACCATCTGCTTCTCTGGATATGTTTCCTTCAGGAAACAAGAACTTTCTATGTGATCTCAGGGACACAGGAGTTACAAAGAAACCTTGCTCCTTAGAAATTGCAAGAGCTCCTTACCCAGGAACTGATAATGCCTCTGACAGAGCAATTTCTGCTACAGGAATGAGTAACCATAGAAACAGCTCCACAGGCCCAACACCTGACTGCTCTCCTCCATCCCTTCCAACACTGCCCTCAAAAATATTGTAAAAGTTATTCGACCCAACTTCAACAACATCTATTATGTCCTCTCTGAATTTTCATCGAATGAATCACAACCAGGAATATTTCTAAATCAACACATTCCCAGAGTGTGTAAGCTTTCTATCCAGCCAATGGTTAGCCCACCCACCTCTTCTGTGGGAATCACAGAGGTTAACAGTGAGAAAACTAACCATACAGATAACCTCTCTCAACAAGAGGACAGTGATCTCCCAAAAGAATATGATCCTGAGCAATTTGCAGGCCTTCTCCATGGATGCTCTCCAACCTGTGAGTCCCCAGAAAATCCATTTAATTTCTATGGGAAAAAAGATGAACATGAAGGACAAGATGAAGTCACATTGGCAAATAGTCCATTGGCTCTCAAGTAGTCTCCAATAGAAAATAACTCAGAACCTTTGGTAAAGAAAATTAAACCCACAGTTGTCAGTAGAATAATTTTTCACAAGAAAGAACAACCAAGTCGAAAACCATACCATTGTTGGAACAAGAACAAGTAGGAGTAGATCCTGGAATGGAGACTAATGGATTATGAACATGGAGAATTTGTGGAGAGAGCCTGAACCCTGGAGAGAATGTCATCGCCAAAATCCCTGACTGAAATGCATTTATCAAAAATGTATCTAAATCAGATTCTGATCTCATTGCCTATCCTTCAAATGAGAAAACCTCAAGAGTTAACTAGAGTGATTCTTCAACTGCTGAACAGAATTCTAAAGGGAATTCCAAAAGATCACCAGCATTCACTTCAGAATGGGAAGAAACGGACAAAATAATGAGTTTGATCGATGTTGGAATTAACAGTAAACTTGGAGAAATAAATGGTTAGGCCACAAATGTGGCATCCTGTTTCTTACTGAGCTTTTTTGACCCAACTCCTACTAGCTTCTGCTATTTCTCTGTGATCTCCTCAGGAATTTGCCCTACATCCCACTTATGTGGCATTTCCTTTTGTGTTTCATCTCCTTGTGAAGATCTTTCTTAAGTAACTTTTGTAATCCTTGCCAATTTTTCCTCATTGCAAATATGACAGATTGTGCTGTTGCTGCTGCACTTTGGGAAGTATTTTGCTTGAACCAGTCAGAAGCAACATTTTTTACCAAATAAACATTTGACACTATGACAGTCAGTTATAACAGTTCATGTTCAAAATCACCAATAAAGGTACATACTCAAAAGAGATTAATATATACAAGGGAACCTACATTTTTATTATGTTACTAGAGGCCTTGTGCACAAAATTCGTGCACTCGGGGGGAGGGGGTCTCTCAGCCCAGCCTGCGCCATCTCTCAGTCCGGGAGCCCTCGGGGGATGTCCAACAGTCAGACATCCTTAGCACAGCCGCAGAGGCGGAAGAGGCTGCCGCCACTACCACTGTGCTTGCCAGCCGGGAGCCCGACTTCTGGCTGAGTGGCGCTCCCCCTGTGGGAGCGCACTGACCATCCGGGGGCAGCTCTTGTGTTGAGTGTCTGCCCCTGGTGGTCAGTGCGTGTCATAGCGACCGCTCATTCTACCGTTCAGTCAGTTTGCATATTAGCCTTTTATTATATAGGACTGGAGTTCTATAACTTACCAAACTAAATACTATATCTATGAGGAACATATAATCAATAAAATCAGTAAAGTTTTAAAATATTGACAAGATCATGATCTCACCATTTAATATGTTGACTTAGCCAACTTGGAATTCAGTAATATACATAGTAAAAATATTTAAATAAAACTTACCAATTAAAGCATTTAGGGAACAAAGTATGACAGCATTTCATTTCATGCCACTTTTTTCTTAAAAGGTCAAAAATAGAATGTTTTCAACATTTCTTCTATAGTTTTACCAGCATGACTTAAGAAAAAAATTTTTAATTAAGAAAAATTTGAAATACACACAAAAATAAAGAGGATAATATTATAAACACTTATATACTCATCACCTAGCTTCAAAACCTGTGAACATATGACCAATTTATTTTACTCTGTAACAACCATTCATTTCCTATATACACCCAGGATCGTTTTGAACAAAATCTCAGACATTACATCATATCATCTGTTAATATTTTGTGTAAAACTCTAAAAGATACAGAATTAAGAATATAACCAAAATACCACTACCACACCTAAAGAAAAATCAAAAGGTAATTTTTTTCCATTTTATTTTATTACTTTTTTGTATTAAATTTATTGGGGTAACATTAGCCATTAATATCATATAGGTTTCAAGTGTATATTTCTATGATACATAATCTGTATATTGCATCCACCACCCAAAGTCAAATCAGTCAAACAGTAATTTCTTAATGTCATTCAAGATCCACTTGGTTTTTAACTGTGGATCCGATTATCTCATAATTTAATTTTTAACCTTTAGTTGGTTTGAATCAGGTTTCTATTAAATATATTATGGTTGGTTGATAGGTCTCTTAAGACTCTTTTAATATATTAGTTCACACTCCATTTCTTTTTATCTTGTTCCTCGAAATTTATTTGTTGAAGTCATGCCAAATGTTTTAAAA